ATTTATGAACTTCGTGAAAAGCGCAATGAGGCGTTTGGATGACACCTATCTGATGGTACGCTTTCTTGAACCCAAATGATGGGCAAAATATAACTGTGGAATTGTCACCCGCTTTGTTACCCCACAGGGAAGCAGGTCCAGGATGTTCGTTTGTGTGTGACCGCTAAATCTGCGAGTCAAAGACCAGAAGAAATTGACAGGATGCGGGCACCGCTTTTGGACGTATGCAAAGAAAGGAGGGAAAAAAACTCGAGGCGACGCATGGTGGCGGTCGCCGCGGTGCACCGGCGTGGCGCACCGGCGAGGCTGCGCCGCGGGGCGGTTTGTCCTAGGTGCTGCACCGATTACACATTGCACAATCGAGGAGCGCTGAGCACACTTCTGGTTTCAGGGCAGTTTCGATGTGAGTTGACCGACGGTGCTGTCACTTTCGCGCAAAACACGGAGACGGCCAATCATACAAAACAATATCATAATCCCAAAGAATCTTTAAGCTCAGTATAACGATTAGATAAAAACAAATGTAATGTACGCTGGAACAATGTTCATGACGTTTTACTTCCGTGCTGTCCCTGCGCGCACGGCATGTTTATATGTAATCGCATTATTAGCTTGATAAATTTTGGGGATCTTTGTATTGCTCTCCGTGATTGGCTGTCTGCGTGTTACGCAAAAACGTTAACTCACAGACGATTTTCAGAGTGTACCCGGGATTGTACTAGATCCGTACTAGAAAATGAGTCATGTCCGTGCAGTAAACTAAAATAAATTAACAGCCGCAGTAGCATAGTTAAAGGACTCCCAGTTGGGTTGATTCCTCTCAGAGAGCAAATTTTCCTTTAACTGTACATCTAAAGAAGTAAATATCTTTTTTCTTTTTGTAGCTGAGTAAAAAAAAAAAAAAGAACGATTAATTACCAGGATTTTTACCGTTCAAGTCTAGTAATTAGAATGTTAGCACATTACAATTAAGGATCTTTGACGCTTGTGTTTCTTTATGAGCTAAGGCAGCTGCACATTTACTACATCAAGAAATCAGTGCATCTAATGTTTACACTCTTATCGCTGCGACACGGGAGTCCAATAAATATGTTGTGTGGCATTATTTGCTATCCTAACTATATTGAATTTTTGAATGCTTGTTTTCCTAACAATGTTCTGCTATTTTGTTATATTCAAATTTAGCATCGAATAACACAATAAATGTCACCGTTCTATTTTATAGCCAATATTTCACATGATGAAACGACGCCACATCGAGACATTTTATGAAATTTGTTTTTTCGATTCAACGGAAAACCATCCGCAATGAGCAGTGTCAGAAAAAAAGTAAACAATTTGTCTATCCTCGCGCCCTACCAGTAATTTAAAACATAAAAGTGTAAACGTTTCTGATATCCCTCGTATCTATTCGATGCAATAAAGTTAGTGGCGATAAAATATTTAGTTTCAAAATAAATCACCGTTGATAATGACATTCTTGCTTGAGTTCTTTTTTTTTTTCTAAACAACCACTATAAGAATATGCCACCACCAGTTCGATTCAATCAGTTTTCTCGATATCTACAGTTGCCACTACAGACGTAGGCCCAAGGTTGATGGTCGTGTTCTCATTCTAATTTAAAAGACGACGTTAAGTGGTGTCTTAAGATATATTTGCGAAACTATACATGGGATAGCTCATCATATTTGCTCAAATAAAATACTTTCTTTAGAAAGTTAAAGGCTCTGAATAAAAAAAAAGCACCATAAAATTGTGCATAGGTGAAGGTTTCACGTTTTCGATTCGATTCTATTTGATTCGATACTGTGAACATTGGAACGTTAGTTCCACTGTTCACAATATACAACTATACTCTAACTTGTAATTATTTGCACTTTGGACTCTTTAAGATTTTTCGTAGACGCAAAATCTCCCCTGTCATCAGTTTAAATTTCTGGCTTTTATGCGATTATAAATAGACAGCCCAGTCCAATGTCGTTTTAAATTTGATTTTCTATAACAAGCGAAAGGCTAGAAATTATTTGATTCAGCAACTGCAAGTGCGTAGCCACTAGTTGCGCTGATGTTTTAAGGCGGATCTTAATTATATTAAAAAAATATTGCCCGTACGTTAGGTTTCACATTTCGCGATATTTCAATTTTATTTATTAAAATGGCTATATTGTTTATTCATGTTTCAATTCTTGGTGGATATTACTTGAATTCGGTTGTTGGCTGATGATATTTTGCGTTTATAAGTGTCAAATCATTGTATGATTGCTCCATTCTCCAGGCTAACATAGAACGTGTTTCTGAATAGTGCGCCGAAAACCACTTGTCACGTAACCCCAAGAGAACTAAATCTATTCTGCTATCCAGAAAGTGCGAGGTAATTTATTTTTCCTATATACTGCGAGGGCCCCGATTCCTCCGGTTTTCTATTATCAAGAATCTTGGTGTATTCATGATGAGTTCACTGTCTTCTATTTACCACATATTTTTAAGCATGAATGCAGCACAGTAATGGGCATTATTTCACAACTGTGGCGCCAGTTTTTCCACGTCCCATTGCTTACTACATTTCAATAAGACATAACTGAGGTCAACAAAAGAATTTGGCTGAATTATTCCAAATTCATTAACTTTATCACAAGTCATTGCAATCAAAAATATACAAAAACGATTGATTAGAATGGTGTACGACCGTTATATTAGAAGAAACTATTTTTAGGATTATGAAACTTTACTCGTTCGATTTGCGTTGCACAAGCCAGCCGTGCGAAGGCAATACAAAGATGTTATATTTATTCACAAAGCTGAACACGGGGAAGTGAATTCAATTGATTTGTTGCGTTTTTCACACTTGTATGCCCTGTGAAGAGTCAGCAGTAATGTGCTAGAGTTTACCTATCTCGAGTGTCTTCTGTGTCTCCTTTATTGAGAATTTAATTAGCAGTTATTAAGGCCCATCTTGACATTTTTCTTTAATTTGCTCTTCTCTTACCAGTTACATTTTGATGTGCAAAGATAGAAGCCTTCGAACTATCTATTGTAAGGCGGGTTTCGTGTAATCTTTTTCACTCTCTATTTTCTATTGCTTATATTTTTATTGCTACGTGTATTTTAATGCGTGATAAGATGCTGTGCTTTTGCTTGCTTTGTGAGCACCATATTATAGTGTTAAGTTGTTTGTGAACACGGAAAAATAAAAATTTATTATAAAGATTATTATTTATTTATAGTATATAACATATTATTTTAATAGTTATATGCTTCGGTGGGGCTGAAAAAGTTTATTTATACACATCTTAGTACTCGCTCTAAACATCTGAATCTTGTGTATTCACTTATTCTGAACATTTTTTTTAAATGGTATGCAATTCAAATTGCCGGAATGGTATAATCATCGATACGGTATTCTCTACGTAATTCATTTGTAATTTTTCTAAATTTTCAAAGACTGATGAAAGACTCAAATATTACGCTAATTTCACTGCGGCCGTTTACCTCCTGAGACCACCACAGATCTTGGAAGATACGCCTCGGTGTAATGGCGATAGTGTGTAATGTTACATTCCTAAATTATGGCTGAAACATTATGTAAACATACGAAGTAGAGACGCTCAAAATAGTCATTCCCAATGTGTGTTCGAAGCAGTGTTAATTGCTCTCGCTGTTAGAGTTCAAACATTGCCCAGTGGTGTTGTTACTGTCACGTGAAAATCGCAATAGTAGAAACTTAAAGGAGAGTTATGAAACAATGTTTCCTGTTAAGCTAGGTTTTTCACTTCACACAGCAGCTGGCTGCCACCCACCTGCACCACCCGTTTATTTCTCTCAAATTTTAAAGGTAATATTTTAGCAGTGTGTAAACTCCGGTCTTGTTCAATTGCTTTGTTAAACGTAGTAGCATAGCAACTTGCTACTTCATATATTTCGAAAAAAAAAGTACTTTGTTTTACGATTTTGTTAGGAGGGAGATATTTTCGCAAGTTTCCTCGAAGATATCCTGAAAGACTGAAGAATGCTGACGAGTAGACAAGAATAATATTTATCATTTAATATAAGTAAACACTTTACGTGTTTATCATAAACAGTCGAGGTGAAAAACCAAGCTTAATATTTATACATTTTAGCGGACACCTTCGTGCAGAAATTTTGTCGAGTAATGTTATGACTTATAATGGTTTTGACTGTCGTCTAGGCGTCTTGGCGCAGTGAAGTAGTATAGGAAATAGCGGGAGACGTTCTGCACTATATATGTACATCAAGGCTTGCTCCTAGGTTTTTGGCAGGTGAGGATACACTTCAGAAATGCATACTTATGAAAGCTAACAGCTTGCGTTAATAAATAAAAAAAATATTGCAGGTAGCTTAGATCTTGATTTGCCCCGTAGAAACCTCCGGCCAATTCTTACGGAGCAAGAAATTGACATAATACATAATGTGATCACTTCGTTCAATAATAACCCAAAACGGCTGAGGAGGATATTTTCTTAAAATTTGCCTGTGAACCTCGGCGAAAATTCTTCATAATATTTCTAATCCTTGTTTTAAAGATGTCACAACCAGTTGCACCAGCTTCACACTTTAAATGGTTCATGATTTCTTTCTGAGATACGTCACATTTATTTTACTCGTGCAGACAAAATGGGCAGAAGGCTACGTAAAGGAAATATACACATACAAATATAATTTTTTCTGCTCTTTTTGGTGATGTCCTTTGTTTGTTCGTACCATGGCTGAACCAGATACATGCTCCCTGGACATCTACTTAGCGCACACCATATCCCTGCTAAACACGTCGGTTGATAAAGTTACTTTCATTGACTTCACGAACTGACGTCATGAGTGAGTCACAGGTTCCAGATGCTAGGAAGAGTTTTTTTTTTTTGGTTCGAGAAAAAGTCTGTACCGCACCGTTTAATAAGTTGCCTACGTTTTTTTAGTTTTTCATGTGTTTACAATAAATATATATTTTCTCCTGCTGGACGCGTAAAGTACGCACAACAGAAACTTCTTCAATTACGTATCACTCATCAGGATCAGTTTAACTGGCAATGCTCATTCAAATCGTATGGATTCTCACTACTGCAGCAACAGGTAAGCATTTCTATCAGTATATTCCTCAACGTGTCAGCGCATATTGCTATATGTTTTCAGCTAGATTTGCAACTTCATCATTGTCATTTTATTTCCGATCATTGTTTACACATAATATATATTATTTTGTTATATTCCCAGAAAAGAAAGGAGCGATATATGCTTATTTTTATGTGAGTTGTTTTTGTACGAGTTGTTTCAAAGATACATTTTCCAAAATAATTTGTAAAACATAAATAGCGTTTCTATCTAATTATTTATTTTATGTTTAATGTTTGGCTTGTCTTCCTTTCCGCATTAATCTCTAGGGTTGGTAAACTTTAGTTAAAAATAATTTTATTGAAGGTGTTTGCTGGTTTCGAGGCACTTTTTGAACTTAATGGGACTACCTTGATAGCAAGAAAGTACTACATAAATTGTACATCTATATTTATATATAAAAAATTGAATAGGTGCATTAATATTGGCTGTTAATCGACCAATGTTTGTTTCGTTTATGTTCCGCGCTTTTCGCAGTTCACCAATGTCCACGCCGAAATGACAATCAAAGTGAGAGAATGTTCAACATGGAAATGTTTTTTGAGCTGTAGGATAAAAGGTGCTATCACCAAACTATGTCATGGTTTTTGTAAGAACAATACCTTCATTTGTCCCTGCACTGAAGTTTTATTTGTTGAGCTTCTACGATTTCCGTACAAATTTATTAAAATCCCCTTACATCTTCTTTCAAGAAACTAGTGAACACATTGGAGTTCTGTGACCACTTCGTAGCTGAACAAATCTGTAAATACATAATTGCAACACACCTGAGAGCACTAAACGCACTATTTCACTTGTTATGCCATTCAAGCTACCCAGGCTTCATTGCAGCTAGGTTAGGAGACATGTTAAAATATATTTGCACGCCTAACAACACGATATCGCTGAGTTTGTGTTCATTCCACTTCAGCTGTGAAAATCGTTATGAAAATATAGCACCTCCACCCTGACGCCATCAATACAATTACTCCCCACCGAAACTTAAAGCATAATTTGGATTGTGACTTGTTCCATGTGCGTTTCGAATATTCAGACAATTCTTTAAGAACACACTGCCCTTTTTTAATGGTCTCCGCATTGTTTAAGGTGCGCAGCACACCGCTTCAGGTTTGGGGTTCCGCGACGGTCAGTTTATTGAAGCTTCACATTTTATATTTATTTTTTAAACAAATCCTACCTGATACTTTGTAAAGCATTCTTGAATGTACTGATGTTATTGGACTTTTTAGAATGGAGTTTAACAATTGTCGGCAATATACAAGCTATGGTCATTGTTGTTCTAAAGATAAAGTTAATTCGCCTGTATAACTATTTCTTGCCACATGATCTTGTTTGAAAGGCAGTGGTCCTGATTAAAAAAGAGTCATTCTAGTTTTTAAACAAACACTGACATCCCCCAAATCTTTCTTTCATATTTTGCGAGGCGATTCATTATGGTGTCGGAATACTACCCAACTAATCTTTTGCTACAGAGTCATCTATTTTTTTAATAAAGCCAAACAACGGAACTGCTCGAAAACAAAACCGAAACTCCCGCACTGCACAGAGAAGTGAAGAGGATAGAGGGGAGTGGCGGAAGTCAGGTGGCTACACCCGACCGTGCGATTTTTTTTCCCGAACGCAGCAGACGAATTGCGTTGCAAGATCCGTTCGCCGTGCGATTCCTTTGCAGTTATGCTTGTTCCGCTCGCTGTTCTGTACTTGAATATGAGTTGTTTTGTACATTTAAGTGTTGGCGATTCGAAGTGGGTGCCTCGGGTGAATTATCGTGATCGGCTCCGAAAAGAATACTCCCAAGATGTTGCGTGAAGAGCTGCCTCACATGTCCTGCATCGGAAAGTGGTATTGTGCTGCAGAGTGCACAAGTTTCCAAAAGATCAACGGGTCAGTGACTACATTGAGTTCGCAGGTGTCAAAAATGAAATCCCATACCATTTAGTTAAGCGACGCATCATTTACAACAATTTTTTTTCAGTGATAGCTATAAAAAAAAAAATGTAGACATCGCGAAATGATTGGCAACAAAATGGTCTACCCACTCGAAGGAGCGAACCCGTGCTCACTGCGTGTGAAGCAGATATCTTTCCACTGAGCTACTGAAGGAACTATTGCTCGTAGTAATGCAGCCAGTCGACTGTATGTCAGAAAGTTTGCTGCCGATTTTCCTCCAGAACATGCACTCCCAGTTTAAAGTCGGGCAGCACCACGCAGGGACGACATTCGCACCGAGTAAAGAAACCGTACGCGTCCGTATTCAATTCGAAGTATGCACTTCGTGCTTGACGTTTGAGCGAGCGATGCCTTCAGCCACGAGGAGGGGCGAGGACTCGGCGACGTCTTTGTGCAATCGGCTTGCTGGTCGGGCATGATGTACGGGATGAGTATCCATTCTTTTGATTGGTCCAAAATTTCAATTTCGAAGGAAGACAGAATTCGCGGGTACCGTGAACGACAGTTCTGAAGTAGAGGTCCCACGGCTGTCATCCGCTGCCTAGTCCCACGATACGCGAAATGTCGCATGTTGAGAATTATGCAGTGAACACACAGAATGCTTCCGGTTGTCTGTACAACCTTTTTTTTTTTTTGTTTCTTCAATGAACGTATTTGCAGCTTTTTGGAAGCCACAAAAAATGGGTTTTATATTTTTTTATTCATTTTTAATATTGACTGTGTGCCTTCAATGACCCACAACTGCGATTAAATTCGGTGGTCGCGTATAAACCTTTGAAAATACCCCGTGACCACGGAGAAGGGTGTGAGCGAGACTCGAACCGGCCATTTCTTGATCGGCGGTTTTCGGGCGGAGAAAAAAAAAAAAAAAAACGAATTTCGAGCCGCAAATTCTATTCAGGGTAGTTGGGTTCGCAGGTGTCGAAAATGGAATCCCACACCATTTAGTTCAGCGACGTATCATCCACAACAATTTTTTTTCTGTGATAACTATAAAAAAAAAATTAAACATAAGTATACCCTGTCAGTGTCCCTTTAAATGCTGTTTTATACAGATGATGCAATTAGCTCCCATACGTGACTTAAGAAATAAGCAGAGCTTTGGTCAAAGTTTGAAAGACTACTTCTCCTGCACCTCTAAGTATCTAGGCTATCCTCCTATAAGTGCAGTTCCACATTTCCAGGTCTTGGTCATTCTTTGACACTTGCTGCTGCGCGTTTCTTTCGATTTACAATGATTCCTAGAATGCGGTATTCCTCCGCATTTTCGAGGGGTTGGTTCTGAAAAGTGAGGTTGACCTCATGAGGTGCTCCTTTGCCGAAAATCATAGGCTTGGTTTTGTCCGGCTAGGGTGTCAGACTGATCCGCTGGAGATAGGTTCTTATTGGGTTCAAACATTTTTGTGTGATCACTCGCTGATCCGAGTGGTGTTCTCTGTTTGTCTAAAAGGTTATAACATACGGCGTATACTGTGAGTTGCAGGACAGAAATTTTGCGGAGTTCCCAGAGCAGCAAAACTATGGCGACATTGAACATTGGTGCCGGACACCACTGATCGTTGAGGGACGCCGACTTTATTTATTTTAGCGAGCTCAGGTACTGTCCTATTTTTATGGTATATTGCTTCTTTTTAGAAAGCGTTTCACAAAATTAAGAGGTCTACCCGTTATTTTTTGTTGCTTGAGGCTGCTAAATATTTCGTCGTGAAGTAAGCCGTCGTAAGCTTTTTTGATGTCCACAGCTACTGGAAATCAAACTTGGTAGTTGATCTAAATGCAATAATACAAATGGATAATATTCCCTTCCTTCAGGGAGTATTGTCGTTATTTCGTAGTCGCCCGTAATTTTGTGTGTAACCCCTTTGCGGTTGAAACAAAGGTTATCTTAAGTTCCTGTGTGTTTGCGGAACCCGCTGCGTGTCGGGAGGTTCCGGGTAATGCTCCCACTAATTTGGTCGAGCTCGGGTGTACATTTAATGTTGCCCTTGCCTATCGCCGCTTCTGTACCCCACATGTTAAAGTCTGCGTTGATCTAGTCGGTATCGCAGGTCTTTCCTATGTAGTAGATCGATTGATCGGGCGTTGTTGCTCTTTGTGGAAAGAATATTGGTGCTATCGCTACGTTACTTTTTCTATTGAGAGGCTTTGACAAAAAGCAATATTGAGCACTGTTAGCTTAGTTTTTGTCTTTTCAAGCGTGGCATTGGGAAACGACCGTACCTTGTAGCACGATACATGTTCGTTTGAATATTTACATATGGCCGAGCAGCTTTCCTGTCTGACTTCTTGGGCATATTTTAAGCGTATTGAGTTAATTTGTTGACCTTCTTTAAGATATCAAGATACTTTCATCTGCGGTATGCATCTAGTAAGGTATTTTCTGGTGCCACAGTGATAATAGTCGGGTGACTGGAGTCCAAGTTTCGGGGTTCACCTGCTTGTTTATATCTTGCTCCGATGCTCTGACGACGGCTGCAGTGAAGTCCTCCACAAATGTCATGCTATGCAGCTTGCTAAAGTGGCGAAACCTATTTCAAATTGTTTTTCTCAACCACTTCTTGCTTCTTTGAATGCGAACATCTTTGATTTCAATTGGATGACGGTCACTTCCCCACGTATCCTCAATAAGCCGCCTGTCCCCGGCGGATTTCGGAGTAGTGAAGATGAAATCCGGTGTCGTATCCGCGACTCATGGATTCGTGGAATACCTTGATTTGACTGTTAGATTATTCACTAATAGTAGGATCACTCTTTAGTAGGCGTATGTTTTTTATTGTGCTCTCTAGAAGATATGATTTTGTAGTTCCACTCTGTGTTTGCAGCGTTGAAGTATCCTTGAATTATTACGTCTTCATTGGGAAAGTGTTTTTAATGGCACGCACTCATAAGTGCTGCTCGTCGCCTTTCGTCGTAGGGTGGGGTCTTCTGTATACAGAAATTAAAATGATTCATTTGTTTCTAAATTGTGTGCGAAAAGACACCACTTCTTCCGAGGCAGAACGGACTGTGCT